TAATTGCCTATCACAGACAGAATTATTTTTGCGCGACAATCAGGCCTCGCATTATTAGTATCGTCATAAGACTTCAGCCTAGTTGACTTTCCTGTGATGAAAGCGGATCTCCTATGTTCCTTTGATCTAATGGGCTATATTGGCCACGCAGAGATATCCTGACTCTTGTATTTCTGTTATGCTTTGTGTTCTTTCTGCGGTCTTCCTCTGTCTCTCTCCCTCATCTTAGTCTTTATGTCGTTTTAGGAGGCTGATGCTAAATTAGTCGATGGTGCAGACGAATACCTTCAGTTATTGACCGTTGGAGGAAGTATGATCAAGGCGATTGGCTGAAAACCTCTTCGCTGTACATCGGCCCCGTTCTGGCAATAGAATCAAAAATATTGCATTTATGAAATTATTTTTTGTAATAAAATTTTGTGTCGCGTATTTTGATTGGCATCCTCTGGGGGTATTAGTGTAATTGTTGTCATTTAAGATTCCTATATGAAGGAATCCTCCGCCCGAACTGCCATAATATCAGCTTTCCTACCGAATTTTCGCTGAGGATGACGCTAAAAATATTTGCAATACTATGGCTACTTAATTTCAAAAAGTAGTGCGTGTTCATTGACTACGGTTTGGTACGTACCTCCAATCCTTGCCGCGACCAATAGTATGGTGCCCATTCTTTTTTAAGAAAACCTACCCTCAAGTCTTACGCGTGACTACCAGATTTCAGTGTTGCTTTCCTTTGGCGAAAGGTTGCATGATGCACCCACCTCAAAGCTTGGGGAGTTGGCTGTCGGAGACCTGTTTAACATAATCAACCCAGCCAGGCGGACTTTGCTACGACACTGACCAGCCAGGGCCGCCCCCGAAGTTCATTTCTACTCTGCTTGGACCATGCAAAGACACCCTTGCAGCACGACTTTGTTTTTTTTCGGTCTCCCAAATTCAGGCTGCAGCTCATGACAGCTGTCAGTTAACCCCGCCGCGGTTGCCGTCCTCGTAATCGCTGTAGGTTGAAGACAGAAACGTGGACTGATTGTACTGTATATGCCTAACAAGTTTACCACAGACAAGCAAAGCGACTTATGGCTACGGCGGCTGCTGCCCGCAGTTGGGGATTTTAAACGGGCTATGAAACTTGTATTTGGCGGGGGTTTAGCTTCCTGGCTTCGCCGCTGCTGAGTGGAAAGCGATTGGTGCAAATAAATGCCAACATCAGGCATGCAGCGTTGACAGAAGGGCAGCGTAACTGGCCTTTCAGAGCAGTAGTGGCATGCTCGGGGTTCAATTTTTCCGCCTATGACATCTTTGTTAGGGTGCATGGCTATGGAGCGTATAATTGACAAGACGGTTTATTATGTATCGTCTTCACTTGTTGTCTTGGGTGCTTGGATCTAGTTCATGATCCTACTGTGCTGGGCTAAATGAGATTATTCCTCCTCACAGGACTTACTTGTTTTTTCTCAGGGGACCAAAACTTTTTCGTCTGAAGTTGGTCAGATGAAAGTATGGGAGAATACATTGATCTGGTTGGCTGGCATCTCTTTACGTCGAATTAATTTTTGGACTTAAAATTTATGCATAGCAGAGACACCGTTCCTTTAAGTTCGGTGATTCAGACACGGTACTAGCCAAACAATTTCGAAGGCGAAGGGCATGGTGTTCCACTAAGTTTTCAGTTCTTTTAAGGCAATCGCAACAGAAGTACCCAGGCGGCTTGTGGTGACGCGGGCACTCGCCTCAAATATCCGCTACTGCGAGTGTGATAACTCGACCTACTGCGATCTTTTTCGGAATTTGAGCAGACTGCACAACTCTGCTATTATTTCAAGCAAAAAACATTTCGAATGGCATTTCATGAGATAGCCAATCTACTGTACCGTCCCTCAACCTGAAGGAAAGCTAACCCTCTATGCCCTCCATTCAATCGCATTTACCAACGGGAGCAGTGTATGGCTATAGTTTGGTCAGACTTTTAGTGGTCGCTACCGACCGACGCTCTCCTAACTCTTGACGCCACAGACGAGGTCACTAAAAGCATAGGACCTCGC